ATTTTGACCAAAATGTAAAATAAATGAGGGGGTGCGATTAGGGGTGAAGAGGTGGGGGTTAGGGTTTATTGTGGTGTAGGGGGTAGGAACTAATTCAGAGTCGAATCAAAAAATACTATAGACCCCCAAATGGATGGATGTCATCCTATGACATTGGAGTCCAATGTCAGGTATTATTTTACTCAATTTATTTTCCATTTCTTTATTCCAACAACATTCGAGTTAGATCCCACAATAATTTTCATTTCTTCATTCTTAACATTAAAATGAATACGATTTTCAAGCCTTACTCAGCTATAGTACTTTGATAAACTCTGTATTTGATACTTCTCTACCATATTTATTTTCATTTTTAACGTTCATATTGTCAAACTTTAATCACTACCTATTTACTTCATCATTTGCTAAAATAACATAAACATGTCACCACTTGTTTTATAGAGATTTGAATGCAATTTTTAAATACATAAATTTTACAGATTTACTTAAACAACAACAACAACCCAGTTGAATTCCACTACATTTACTTAAACAAATTGAATTGAAAATAACTTCGATCAAATATCATAAACTATAAAACAAAGATAAATGGGATGGATGGATGGTTACTTTAGAGTGTAACGCCTTGGCACCGTACGAGGCTTTGTACGGTAGGCCGTGCCGGACTCCTACTTGCTGGACGGAGCTCAGCGAGAGGAAGTTGGAGGGACCAGATCTAGTTCGTGAAACCGAGGAGAGGGTCCAGGTAATTAAGGACCGGCTTAAGGTGGCATCGGACCGACAAAAGTCCTATGCCGACCTTAAGAGACGCGATATCGAGTATGCGGTGGGAGATAAGGTTTTCTTGAAGGTATCTCCTTGGAAGAATGTTTTGCGTTTCGGAAAGAAGGGAAAACTTAGTCCGAGGTTTATAGGCCCATACCCAATCACTGAACGTGTGGGACCTGTAGCCTACAGGCTCGAATTACCATCGGAGTTGAGCAGGATTCATAATGTATTCCACGTGTCTATGCTCCGAAGGTACTGGTCAGACCCTTCACACGTGATCCCAGCGGATACGGTCACTCTCGACGAGAACCTTACATATGAGGAGGAGCCGGTTGAGATTTTGGCTCGGGAGATCCGTCAGTTGAGGAACAAAACCATTCCGTTGGTCAAGGTTTTGTGGAGAAGTCACACCGTTGAGGAGGCGACATGGGAAACCGAGGAATCCATGCGCACCCGTTATCCCCATCTTTTCAGTGACCAGTGATCAGGTAAATTTCGAGGATGAAATTTTCTTAAGGGGTGGATAACTGTAACGCCCTGCGACCTGGTCTATTAGAATTGATTAATCTAATTAATTAATTACTAACTCGGACCGGGGTTTGGAAATAAAATCCTTAGAAAAATTATTTGATCATGTCATAATATTCGTTTTGACTGTCTGATTCCAGAAACGCAACCGGATCGCAATTCGGACCCATTTGGGGGAAAAACGCATATCGTTCAGGTCAGATTTTACATAACGGAACGAATTAATGGGAGATAACTCCCCAATTACACCCATACGCCACACCATCCCCCTTAACTCACCATCATCACTCACATTTATTCCCCATTCATTTCCCTTAAAACCCCACTCTCCTTTTCATTTTCCCTCACCCATTTATAACTCCCAACCATTACTCTCACTTTCTCCTCCTCTTCCCTTTGTGCATTTCGGCCAAACCACAGCAGCTCCAGGAGGATTTCCGGCGAGAAGGAGAAGGAGAAGGAGGAAGAGAAGAAGGCCTACGCGTGTGGTCGTTCGTTGTCCGTTCGTTAGCGCCGTTTGTTCATCGCATTTTGTCGTTCCGTCAACCCCTTTCGTTAGAGGTGAGTACATTGCCCTCTAACTTTAGAATTCATAGTATAATCATATCGTTATATTCATAGGATTACCGGCTAAACCTATGTGCATCCACATCGTCATGACTTTTCGTTTATTAGGCCTTTCGATTACACACTTGTTAGTATAAACGTTACAAAACATTGCAAACTCATCAATACTTAAGCTGGAAACATAAACGTTCATTTCTAAAACTCTCAACGTCTTAATGAAAATCCAACAAGCAAAAATAGGAACCAGTGTGCCTTAATAATCGATTTACAGAATCTGACAATTGATTATTAGGTCGCGCTGAACTCCTTAGTTTTTTCAGCAAGACGTGATAATCGATTATCACCTTGCTGATAATCGATTATTAGGTCCTGCGGAATCTCAAGTCTGGGTTGGTTCTTTTGATAATCGATTATCACATAGCTATAATCGACTATCAGGCCCCTCTGGACTTGGGTGTCCTGAGAGAATACTTTGACAATCGATTGTCATGGGGAGACAATCGATTATCCTGGTGGTGGTCCCAAAGTGGTGAAATACAAAGTCTAGAGGGGGGGTGAATAGACTTTGTTACAAGTTTAAAATCTTTTTCGTTTCTTTTGAAAACGAGAAAATGAGTGTTAATCTAGAGTCCTTGTGAACTTTAGATTGTGTGCGGAATTTGGTGGGTGGAGTGAACAGTAATTAATATGGATAGGTTAGTTTTCACAGTTAATATAATTGCAAGTAAGAATAAAGATAAGAGAGAGAGACACGCAAACTTTAACGAGGTTCGAAGGTGGGGTAATGCTTCTACGTCCTCAAAATCCACTATGTAGTTGGTTGTTGAATAATGAACCAACAGTTACACTTGTGTGAATTTCTGCACGGTATATCTTCACAAGATCAATGTTGCTACTGCACTCGTGCTGGCTTTGTTGTTCCTTCGAAGGTCAAGCTTCTTCAACAACTGCAAGATCCGAACAATAGGACTTGCAAGATCAACTTGTAAGAGAGTTGAGCTACCCCCTTTTAATCAATAAGTTTGATCAAAAGTAATATCCTTCAACGTGGTGTGGTGCTTGAGGCAAGGAAACCTTCAAGTGTTTACACTATAGCTTTTTGGAAGGAGGAGAAG